ATTTTGCCAAAAAAACTATCTAGTGGTTTTTGTCATGCCCTAGCCTATCTGCCATGAAAATATGAGCGAAATCGAATTTTCGACCCTTGCCGAGTTATTTGCCATTTTTTATGGACAGGGACTCTTAACACCTTTTCAACTTTTCTGTTAATCAATTTGTTACATCACTGTGAGTACTTTCTTCATTTCTACATGCTTAACCTTGTTTCAGATGCGCTTCGTCGATTGGTCGAATTGGTGGCTATCAACCAATCAAACTTGGAGATCACTGTCCTCCTGGTAGCGTCATTCATGAGGTGGGGCACTCGCTTGGCTTATGGCACACACAGTCTCGGCCAGACAGGGACAAATACATACAGATACTTTGGGACAATATACTACCAGGTACTTGTTCAGTTTTGGATGCATTAAAATAAGAAAATCATCACAAAGAGAAATATGAACTTCATAATTAGAATCAATGGCTTGTTTGTGGCAAGCATAAGCTTACTTCGAAAAGAAAGCGACGAATTTGTGAAAACAGCTTAGAGCTTCGTTTGATCTGCTAAGTTCTAAGTAGCCTCACGGCCTGTTTGCTTGACAGTATATTTGCATTGTGGGCAGAAATAAGAGCGGTATATTCCGCTAGGGAATTGAAATGACAGCTGAGCATTTACTTATATTGTTTAACCCCAAAGGAACTCCCCAAGTACTCATTTAAACACCATGCGCGGAGGAAGACACCTCTAGAATTGTGTGACACTATTCGTTCAGGAAATCTGACTGTAATCGATATTTTGACTTAAGAATTTTACGATTAAGTGACCCCCATCTGCATCCTACAGCAGTCTAACCTCCTCTCCCTCCTAACGTGTGATAGATTCTTAAGTATAAACTGAAAATTTTCGGTCATATCCTCCTTACAGGTAAATCGGATCAGTTCAAGAAATACTACCACGGCGGTGGAGACGAACTTAAAGTCAAATACGACTACATGAGTATTATGCATTACGGGAAAGACTATTTCGCAAAACTAGATTCAGAACGAAGGCATTATCTGGTGACAATCAAGACCAAGGACCCGAAGTATCAGAATCGAATTGGCCAAAGACAATACCTGACATCTAACGATCTCCTAATGATAAATACCATGTATGGATGCCCAGGTAATACAAGCCACGATACTACACTACAACGAAATTCTACTTGTTGTAACTGTGGTGTGGTAGCCTTTCCTCAGCGCTTGGACGGTGCACAGTAAGACCGGAAAATTACAGACTAGAATAGTTGAATGTGTCAACAGTGTGAAGTGATCTCAGTGTTATTTCTTTCTTTGTTTTTTTTTTGAGTAATTTAGGTCAGAACATTTCCTCGTGGCAGTTGATAAAGTGTGCTACGGTAGACCGTGGATTGATGAATGCCTCAATGAAGCGGTCTTATAACGGTTTATAAAGCGTTTTCATTAATCTTTCCAACCGATATCTTCGTTACATCAGTGGGTATAAGTTCCAAAGATTCCACAAAAAAAAAACAAAAGACAAAAAACAAAAACACACAAAGAAACATATACTTATCTATGTTCCCACACATCATACCATAAATCGTAGCTGCATATATGGAATGGGTGACAAAGAATCCGGAATCAACCAAAGGATTCTGAAATTTCGAAATAAAAAAATCTGCAGGATCCTTTCAGATATTATAGACTACCTCCAGAGGAACGGAAAAACGGAAATGTCCTTACCATTTGCTAAATTTTCAGTTTCCAGTCTCTCATCAGCCGAAAACAATTACGGGAAATCGAATTGTAAATGGTAAGCGCCATCTCGTTTGGTCGGGTTGCTGATTTTGGCAAAAGCCTTACCATTATTCAACGTTCATCTTAACCAGTCTATTCTGACAGATAGTAAGCACCCAAGATCTCCACATAACTTGTTTTCATACGCAGATTATCCACACATGTGGCACACTGGGCATTGGAATGATTGCTCATCTCCATGTGGCTCAGGGAAACAAACACGACACGTTTACTGTGAAAAAAGCGAAGGAGAAAAGGTATCTTCGAAATATTGCAGCAAGACGAAACTACCAGTACAATCTCGTAAATGCTATGGAAAACAATGCGGTAAAGTATGCTCAGTTATTAATTAGGCTCAGTCTGTGTTTGCAGGGCGCTAAGTACGTCATGTTGATTCTGTCCATATATCAGTCAATGGGCCTATCTATCCATTGGGCCATGCCCCCCCCCCAAACAAGCACAAGCCTAGTCAGCCGGGTAGGAATATGGAACGTGCAATCTTGGTTTTTATCGATACATTATCATGCACTTTTTGTCCATCAGAGAGTCACTGAGTTAATGGTCCAAAGGGCCATTCTGGAGTCAATTTTTGTCAGCCTTTGTCGATTAACCTTGTTATGATAATGATATACGTCCGTTTTATCGTCTTTCTTATAGAAACCTGTCCACGGGATTGGCTTTTTTTCAACAATGCTTGTTATCAAGTGAACTTAGAAAGGAAAAATATACAAGATGCGACCGATTCGTGCCTGGATAACGGAGCAGGAATTCTAACTCTCAGGAGTAGCGAAGAGGAGACCTTTTTACGAGAAGAACTGGAGAAGGACAATCTGAACAATATATTTTACTGGCTTGGTATGGAATTAAATTATCTTTCAGCAACAATACCTCTCACGATTTTTTTTTCAAGATTTCTAAGACGTTAGAAATAGCTACATATAGCATACAATGAAGCTGAAAGAAAAGGAAGAAAGAAGACAATCAAAATTCACAATGGCGTCACTTCGTACCTTGTTCAGTCATTGAGGATTAGATGTTTTAACTATTTTCTGCTGGAGATATGCACTGTAAATTAGCAAAAATCCTGACTTAATACTTTGTTTTTTGAAAGTTCTTACGAGTGCATAACAGCTTGTTAATCGTACACTAAAATTAACAGTCACAAAAAGAGACCAAACGCACTTTGATTGAAGAATAAAAGAGAACAAAAAAAGAGCAAGCTTTTTCTTTCTCTTAATATGGCAAATGCGCTATTTCTAGGTGCGAAGTATAGCCCAAGCAAAGGTAATTTTGCCTGGCCTGATGATACGGAAGTTGTTTACAACGCATGGAATCCAGGAGAGCCTCGATTTGGATTGGACTGTTCTCTAATGATGAATAGGAAAGGCTGGGGTACAGATAGGTGCGACATGGAACGAAGCTTTATTTGTAAGAAAGGTAGGTTATTATGGTTTGAAAGTGCATGGTTGTCTTCATTTTGAGTCTAAAGGTGCTATGTCTACTTTGGATTTTCAGTACAAGGATAAAAGTATATTGAGAAGTTGCATAGGGTCGCCGATTTCTTTATAGTTGCTGTCCTTAGACAGAAACGTAAATCATGCATTAAAGTTGCGACCTTTGGCGTGAAAACTTTCCGAGTCTAAAACTCTGGCATGTTGTGTAAAAGCACCCATTCTGTTATTGGCTCGTTATTGAATAAAAGGTTATGGCAATATTAACAGCTTAATCCACGCCTATTCAATCTCCAAAAAACCTAGCAAAATAGTCAAACAAAAACATAGCCTTTCCCGTTTTTTAGAACTGAAGAATTACAAGCGAAGTGAAGTCAAGGTAAAGACGGAAAAGAAAGAAGACTACAAGTGGTATGCAGAAGACTGGGACGAGTGTTCGGTTTCTTGTGGTGGAGGCCAAAGAAATAGGAAGACATTTTGCGGTGTTGACAACAAGAGAGAGGTTGAAGACACTTTGTGCGAGGGTATTGTTACTTTCTTTTCTTTTTCACTGGAAACATTCATTTTCATCTGAAAGAACCTTTAAAAGATCATTCCAATTTTATTACCTTTGTTTCTATAAAAGGTAAATTGTGGAATAGTTGCAACAAACATAAGGTTTTATCTCGCATAGATCCTCCACCCGCAGCATGGCAAGAATGCAACGTGGAACCATGCCCCTCTGAATATAAATGGAACGTGGGAGACTGGCAAGACTGCAGTAGGACTTGTGGAGGTGGAACCAAACGCCGAACAAAGATGTGTGTTGGAAAAAATATGATATCTACCTCCTGGAAATTATGTAAGGACAAAGCACCAGTTACTAAACAGAAGTAAGAGAAATTATTACTTTCTATCAAACGTAAAAATGCGACCAATTTCGTTGCAATTTGCAGAATATTTTATAAACACGAACGGAGATAGTATCGCTCAGTGGCGAGGGAATTACAACAATGAATTTTATGCCAACATAGGTGCAACACTGAGCCTTGTCCAAGAAGAAAGATTCAACTATCACCATCACCAGTCTGGAAGGTGAGTACATGTGAAAGTAAGTTTAACCTAATTAAAAATTATTCCACGAGCGCACTTTGGATTTCAGAAGATTGATAGCCAAGACTATGAAAACTCTTGAACTGCAATATCCAACGATCCAGTTTTTTTATATTTGTTCTTCTCCATTCTCCCAATAAATGAATAAAACAAAGCGGAAATAAAACACACCACCTCCATACTGTAGGTCTGCCCATTTCCAACCGACAAACTAATAAATTTACAGCCCCAGCAAGTGATACGCATGGTATTTCATGTAAGAGTGATGGAAACAATTTTGCACTTTGCACACGCCTTGCAGGCTTGTGGCTTTAAATTACTCTGAAAACGCTTTGGCTGTTTGGTCTAAATATCCATAAATTAATTTCCGCTCTAAGACCAACTTTTAAAATGAAGATGATTGACAGGGAATACAAGCGCATTACACGTGGATAAGTTGCAAATAGGGCGTAAGTGTTCATCCTAGCAACATGCAACAACAACAAAAACATCATCAACAGGAGCAGCAGCAGCGCCGACAACAGCATTTGACAGCGAATTAGTAACAGGTACACGTTAATAACAGTAGGGAAGAAAAGGTAGGATGATCGAAACGTTCTTTTGCATGTTTGCATGTTTATTTTTAATATCTTCGTAGGTGAGCTCTTGGAGCAAGTGTTCTAAGACTTGTGGATCTGGGCATCAGATAAGAGGTGTATTTTGTTCCAGGAGCAATAATAAACCACTAAATACGTCGGCTTGTGATGGGAAAACAAAACCCACTGATCTGCGACGGTGTTTTTTGAAGGAATGCATACTTAAAAGAGGTTTGTATTTAAAATGAAAAAATGTACGTTTCTATTCACAAAAAAATATCTTAGAACATAAGCAAACGATATTTGCTTTTTGATATTGAAACTCGTTTTATTGTTTCTATCAAGAAGTTCAAAGTACACTTTTCAGTCTTTGGCAAGTGCATAAGTCTCGCGCTACGTTTTCTTGAAGCTTCACGCGGAATTTTCCTCAGAGCGCGTTCGACGTACTGCTTTTCGAAT